GGTGAAAACATGGTTTTTCCCATGCCAATTACCCCTTTAAACGGTCTGAACTACCTGGAGTGGGCTAAGAGTGTAAAACTCTATGTAACGGCAAGGGGTAAAGCTGGTTAYATCAATGGAAGGGTGAARGAACCCAAGGGTGAGACGGCTGAACATGATAGGTGGGACCAAAAAAACAGTATGGTGATGTCTTGGCTCCTCGCAGCCAGGGAAACCGTAGCTTGTCTTCATACTATTCAGCCCTTACCTCCATATGGAAGGAATTGGACCATTATCGGGCCATAGAGTAGAAGCACGATGATGATGCTAAGGCCTACAGGAAACTGGTCTCTCAGCAACGGGTGTTTGCTTTCTTGTTGGGACTGAACCCTGCATATGAACCATTGAGGGTGTAGATCCTAGGAAGCAAAGAGTTGCCTACGGTTCACGAGGTATACTCCCTTGTTCAATCTGAAGAAAGTAGGCGGAATGTGATGGTTACAGCTGAGGGGGAGCAACAAGTTGCTTTGGCTGCAATGAATAATAACTCCATGGGAAAGAAAAGTGACCCTAAGAAGGCGGATGATAAAGATAAGCTGTTCTGTACCCACTGTCAGCGTTCACGACATACACGTGATAGTTGTTGGGACATCCACGGGAAACCCAAGTGGGCAGAAAAGAATCAAGAACTGGGTAAAGATCAAGGTCAAGGTCATCAGAAGAAAATGAGCACAGCACATGTGGCAACCCAAGATGCTCAAGTTGCCGGTAGTACCCGGGACCACCCTAATAAGTCTGACCCCAAGGAGGATATAATGAATTCCTTCAGAGAGCACCTGTAATCTAATGGTAGGGCTTTGCGGCAAATGGACAGCTCAGTCACTAGTACTCCCTCTACTTCATTTGCATCTACTTCGGGTAATATGGCTTCTGCATTCCATGTTACTCCCACAGATTCCCCTTGGATCATTGACTCAGGGGCCTCAAACCACATGATCGGTAAGCCTAACTTGTTTCAGTCTTATAGCCTTTTGTCAGGAAGGGTAGAGTGAGACTTGCAGATGGTTCTTTTTCTTCCATTGCAGGCCAAGGATCAATATCCCTTCCCCATGGCCTTAACCTGAATTGTGTATTGCATGTCCCTCAGCTTCCTATAAATTTGCTTTCAATTAGTAGCACTACAAGCTCCTTGAACTGCAGTGTGACATTTTTTGCTGACTCATGTGTTTTTCAGGATCTAACTTCTGGGAGGACGATTGGTAGAGGAAGCCTAGTGGATGGTCTCTACATTCTCGACAACAAAGCTGGT